TTTTTTTAATACGAATATTAATAGGTGCACATATACATGGATTTTTTTCATCATCTTCAACAGATTTTTAATAAATTTTGATGCGTATAAGAAAAGGCAATTATTATATCTTCGTAACGTTTGTTATTACGTATTATATTTTCTGTCATAACTGAATTGTTTTAAACTTTCAATTGGACTTCTTCAAATTATATAGACTAATGTTTCTATTGTCTCATGTGTCAAAACTGTTCAGCGTACGGTTGCAATATGTAAATCAAAATAGCTTGTCATACTTACAATGGAGATGTTTGTATTTTAATTGAGCTAGGTCTGATATTTTGATGTCAAATGACAGCTCTCATTGCCAAAGTAACAAGTTTAAAATATGAATTGCTGTAGGCGCACGATTAGATAGATACTTGAATTTTACGTAGCCCCATCTATGAGTATTGAACATCGAGATATTGGGATTATTTAGATCGATTCTTTGTAAAATCAACTGAATATTTCGATAGTGTACTTCAAATTTTTTTCTGAAATGAATCAAACGTATCAGGAGCACATAAATATTGGTATCTTCTGAATCCTGAGTGATATCAACATAGAAAAAAATCAACTAGAAACTGATAAAAACTTAACTGAGCAATTGTTTGAATTTTATTTCAACAGAAAATAGTAGACTTAATAACGTACTATTTCAACAAATTCACTACAAGTGTAGATGGAGATCTTCAATTAAATGGTGGTAGCAAAGTTGCATTTCTGCATCAAGCACAAACTAATAAAGTTCGGTTATCGCAATTCTTGATACAAAAATAGAAGTCATGCAACTTGAAGCAAACATCTTTTGGTTTTGCAAGTTCACCAATTGTTTCATTGACTATTCCGGCTTGTATGAACCCATACGTATCCAGATCGAGCTTTACGGTGACCAGAAACGACCGTATACGACCCTTCCGCAAAAATAGAAGATCGACACATACCTTACAAATCCGGAAGCACTAGAACAAAAAAATATTTTCGAGATCTTCCTCAGATCTTTGTGAGATCTGATCTTTCCAAGCGTATTGAAGTCTCAAAGCACTTTTAAAATAGGTTACCATTCAAAAAACATATTCTCTTATTAAAATAGCTATTACATCTCCAAAAATACCTTAACAGTTAGGTACTATTAGAAAAACGTATTTCACCATTTTTGTTCATTAAAAGAGCTACCATAAACTCTAAAATACCTACAAAAAAGGTAACATGAAGAAAAATATTCTAAGATATTTTACTCATAAAATAGCTGATACAATATCGAAAATACCATTACAAGAAGGCACACTGCGAAAGAAATCGTTAAAGGCGACATCACAACCACTCAACACTTTGAATGGATGAGCAGCATGCGTTTGGTCGTTTGAAAAAAAATCAATAAAAACCGGAGGGACGACTGCTCACGTAATTCAGAGGGATATAACAGTAAGGTATATAACTGCCGAAGCTTGTAATTGGCGGCGGATTTTCTTCTCTTTGTGTACATGCGCTTTTTCCCAGCGCTTTTTCTCAGGCGTGTCATTGATAATAGGATTTACGTTTATTTTTGACAAAACTTGTTCCACCAGTTTCTCCTTCCAACTAATACTGTTTCGTTGACCCGAAACGTCAACACTAGTTATTCTTTCTAAGGCCGGTATCATACTTCTCTCACGAAAACGCATCGTCCTTCCCTGAAAACTGCTTTTGTGAAGCCGATTAGCAAACCCTTGTAATTTTTTCTTCCTGCCTACATCTCCATGTGCCACATGACAGAACCATCTATTGTGTGATCCCATTGACCTGAGCGATGCTGTATACTCAAATATATGTCGAGCAGACGTAGATGAAAAAACACTGAACAAAACCGACTTAAACCGGCTTCACAATACCCAAAAAACGATTTTTAATACATGTTGCTGCTACCTGTTTTGTGACTCGAATAAAGGGGGGTCACTGTCTCAAAAAGACTGAAAAAATATCATTTTAAGCGGATTGTGAATATCCAAAAAAAGATTTTTAATACATATTACTCTTATCTGTTTTATGGCCCGAGAGAATTCTGACACGTGCAGCACTCATGTATATAGGAGGCCAATGTCTGAAAAAGACTGAAACAGATAATTTTGAGTGTGGGTGTCTGTGTGTGGTTGGGTGTGCCGATGAAGAGAAGCCCCCCACACACACATCCCCACTTTGAAAGAAAAAAGACAGTTATGAGAGGTCACGGTTATTAACTGTAGTGCTGGAAAATTACGTTTGAAGAGGACGAAAACAAAGCTAGGCATATTATAGTGTGTCATCTGTTGAATGAATATATCGTATATATTCGAGCATTTATTAGGAAAAATGCAACTAAAATTTCTCGCGGGCCTTTGCAACAAGTCAGTAACTGGAAAAATAATGCGGAGTAAAGTTCCTGTACACTATTGTGAAGACAATCAACAAACACGCGCTAGTTTTTTCTCTCCAAATCTAACGTCCTTCAACAAATTGAAAATACCATTAAAATATTCCTCTATCTAAAGATAATTCGAAATTTCTTTTACAAGGTTAAAAGAGCACTGAAGGTTCAGTTGTTGTACAGAGATAATTTAAGAGAGTTGTCATCTCAACATCACATTCTCTATAGCTTTTCGAAGTTGGATAAGAATTTTTTTTTGCTAAGTTAAACTTGTTCTAATTCATTTCAACTTGCTCTTTTTTGTAACGCAACTCATTCTTTCTTTCGTTATGCTCAAATACACTCTTGTATGCTATAATCATAAAATTTATCGCTATAACAAAGCTATTTATACTATATATTTTTGAACTGTGACAGTTCAGAATGCTTAAATAGTGGGAAATTCTATTTCATAAAACGAGAGTTTTAGTCAAAATACGAATGCGAGTATTTACTTGACTAGTTTGTAAAAACAACTCGTTTTTCAATAAAAAATTGCGTTAAAAGAACACGTTCTAGCGCGTTTGTAAAAAAATCGTGTTTTGAATGAAAGAACAATAAAACACCACGTTTAAATGTATGACAAATAGTCGCGCTCGAATACAAAAAAAAACTCTATTCGAACTGTAACGTTCCCGGTTGAGTACCTTGTATGGATGATGTTTGTCCTTGTCTTACTATTTCTTTTCATCTTATGTATTGTCCTTATCTTTCTGTCCTTACTTCGTAGATCGTGTAGTACTTTGTCCCCATCTTATTTTGTCCTTATTATCCTTTTCTTTCATTTTACGCTTCTTTTGACGTTTGGGTCTATAAGCGTGTGCTTTGTGTGTAAATGATGCGATTCTTGATATGAAGAAATACAATAAAGCTCAATTTCATCAGTGCTAACTCTTCTTCTATCTAAAATCGTCACATTTGGCGACCATGGCTATCAATGCTCTTACTTCTGTGTTCCAAGTGAAGCATCTTCATTTTGGTTCACAACACCATCCTTGCATCGCGTTTTGTTTTGCTCGACACGAAATGAAACGATGGAGCGATTATGTCCAAAATATCGAATTGATGGATATGATGTAGGGACGGTAATGCTGCTGAGAAAGGCAGTAGTATTTCCGAAGATCAGAGAACGTACGAAAGGGCGACTTGGGTCCCAGCTGATTGTGCGTAGTTCCAACGCACTTTCCTAGTAAAATTCACACGTAATACGCTGTATCGTCCAGACTCACTCTATTATTCAACACTTCAGTCATTTTCTTCATTGATTTCACACACAAACATCAACAGTGCAACCGGATCGACCATCGCTAGCTTACAAATCGCATTAATACTAGGGGTGTACCGTGACCGAGCCTGAGCCGAGACTCTCGGTCTCGGTCGTATCGGTCTCGGTTGGTCTCGGTCTCGGTTGGTCTCGGTCTCGGAAGTCTCGGTCTCGGAAGTCTCGGTCTCGGTCGTCTCGGCCGAGACTCTCGGTCTCGGTCTTAGCCTCAGTTCATTTTTTGTCTTCGTCTTGGAAACTTTGTCATCGGATGATTATCAAAGCTGATCTTTTCTTCAAAAGTTGAAATATCTCGAACAATGTGTTGTGCAAGATTTAATAATTAAAAGCTAATTTTTATAAGACTATCACTTTTTGAAACCGTAAGTACCACTTTCAATAATTCCAAATCACTTTCGTATTCAATTTTAATGAATTCGACTGTAATCTAAATGTTGACATATCTCGGTATCGGATTGGTCTATGTGTCATTGATTTAGCAAGAAAAAAAGAAGTATTATTCATATTTAAATGACAGAGTATTTTTTTTTCACTTGAATATCATTATAATAAAATAAATATAAATCCTCTGATGGGTTTCAACTCTTAGTCGTGTGTGTAAAACACTGATGATAATACGTTAACAATGGTACCCATGGAATAAGAACATTAAAAAAATGCCACTTTTGACGATGACTTCGACAAAAAATTGATGTATTGCATTTTCTTCGATGTCATTTCGTGATTTTGATTTTTAATCACTTTCATTCGATGACTTTGATCAAAAATCAAACTCATGATATGAAATTGAGTAAAATTTTCATTTTAATCTATGAAAATGAAGTATGTCATTTTTTTCTCAGCTTTCTCATTTTCGCAATGATGTTTTTCATTTGTTTATTCCCTGGATAAAACTTTGGTTGTTAGAAGTGCTACTGATTATTTACTTGCAACATATTTTTTATTGTTGTATATCATTCAATTACGAAATATAATCGAGAGGTTACTATAGAGAAAGAAAATCGATAGACATGTTATCCGTTATGTTGAATAGACAAATGTTTAATGAATGAATCCTCGAGGACAACACCTGGCTATACACTTAGACAGATAATGTTAATTAAGTATGACGAGACGACGATAAATTTTCCGTACAGAAACGAAAAATAACGAACTTGTCGACAATTTTATGTCGTTAAAAAAAATGTTCATTAACATCAAAATAGTAGAAGTGAGAGGTAGAGTATAGCTATCTTTCGTTATAATTTTTGTTTTCATAACTCATCATTTTTGTTAATGCGTTCAAAAACAATTTCTAAAAATTTTTCTAAAAAAAAACATCAAACCACCAATACATCAACAATTGAAAGTCAACATGTCGATGACATTTTAAATGAAGAGTGTGTTACACTTACAACTCGACAGCAAAAGACTCAGTCGTCATCGTCGTCATCCTCGTATCCCAAAAAGAAAGCAGCCGTTACAACAAATAGTGATGAAACATTCGACCAAGAAGAATCTACTGATCGAACACAAAATGCAACAGATGCTTTACCTGTTAAATCAGAAGTATGGCATTATGCCACCAAGTTACAAAATGGTAAAGCTAAATGCAACAATTGCAATCGTGAGATTGGATGCAAAGACCACTCTACAAGTGGTCTTCGTCGACATTTACATCATTGCTTGAAAATATCAAAATTTGCATCAATCGGTAGTGGTGTTTTCAAAAAATCACTTAATAGTAATATGAAAAAAAAATTACATGAATTGGTTTACAAATGTATTATTGAAGATGGTCGTAGTTTTGGTGACTTAAGGAAGCCTGGAATGACTCGTCTTCTTGAAGAAATTGTTCCAGGTAAGCGAGAGTACTAACTAGATTTTCGAATCTGAAACACCAGAATGAATTTGTTGAAAAATATCATATATATATATATATTATAGACTATATATGGCACATGAATGAAGTCTCTACTAAAAGAGATTATCGAGATTACTCCAAGGATCAAAGTGAAAGATAAATATTGTTTGTTTAGATATTCACAAAAAAGAAATAACTAGATTTTCTCTCTTAATTTTTCCAGATACAAGTGTATATTTACTTTTGATCTTTTCACAGTAGCCATTCTTTAGTTTCAAGTCTCAGCTTTGTTGCAAGCACTGTGCTGTCATAAATAAAAGCTAGTTGACTAGGAAGTATACTATATATTTATTTCTTTTTATATATTTTTCATTACTACCTTTGAATTTGAATCAACTATGGCTATTTAAGATATCATGATGTTGCAAAAAATAGTATAGTAGAGGACAGGTAAATGTTGAATGAAATGAAACGTAATATAGATGTAGCGCCATTGATTTCCATTCGTAAGAGTAAATCGAAAAAAATTGTAAAAAAAACATTTTTTCTAGGCTAGATATATGAGGCTATATAAGTTCAAAAAATGCCCGGCATATCTTACGCTAAAATGAAAAATTTTAATTCTTTATTTTGCCAACGCATTTACTGTATTATTCGTACAAAGTTCCACTACGTTTTATTAATGCATATCCTAAATGATAGTTTTAGTTTGTTGATAAGTCTTTTGCGAATTTTGAAATAAAACTTGTTTGCACTTTAGTGGAATGAAATGTGTCAGATCTTATCGTATATCTAGGCGTTTTATATGTCCTTCAAGACCCAAACAATTGGATATATTATACACACTAGGCAATATTCCAGTATCGATGTTCCATGCTTGTATGGAATCAACGTTACCAATAGGACAACGCGGAAAATTTAAAGCTTCATGTTTGTTCATCTCTATTACAGTTCTTATTACTCCTTCAGATTCTTAGCTGTTCAAAACGTTTTTCAACTTTGTGATATTCACCAGTAATTCTGCTAGAGTTTTGCTTTTTTTACATATAAAATAGAACATATTGTACTGCAAAATTAATAAGGTGCAATTTTAATATAATTAACTTTAATAATAAAAAGAATAAAATAGACTATATCTTAATAAAAAATCTGTCTTTAAAAGCTCTTTTGCTTTTTTAAATTCCTATATTCGATTAGAAAATGATCATTGTTATTATTTTTTTAATTGACATCTCGTAGTGTTGAAAGTTGGCTTTCTCCAGGAAAACCTGATTTTTAGGTTTTATTCGATATGAATATATGAAGCGTTTTTTTTTCATTTTCATAATTTTTTGCAGGTTATAAACCACCTACTCGTCGAACGTTGCAACGTCAACTAAAAAGACTTAATAGTAATCATACACAACTACTTTTAACTGAATTGAAAAATGTTGATACATTAGCTGTTACTACAGATTTATGGTCCGATAAAAAGTTAAATTCTTATATGTGTTTAACAGGACATTTTATAAATTCTGATACAAAATTAGCTTCAAAAATTTTATCTTTTACGGTTTTTCCTGAACGCCACACTGGCGATCAAATTTCTTATACAATTAAAAAGGAACTTAAACGATTACAGGTTTATGAAAAAACAAATGCTATCACCTGTGACGGTGCATCCAACATGCGAAAATCATTTACAACACTTAAACCAAAGAGATTACAATGCGTAGGCCACAAACTGCACCTGATAGTGTGTAATGCACTTTGCCTCTGGGTGAAAGAACGACAAATGGATGAAGCATCAATTATTGTTGATCTCGAAGCTACTGATGAAAATTTTGATGATATTAAAGTTACCACTAATAATTCAAATAATTCACGTGGTGAGTAGTGAAAACTGTTTTTCATATCGAGAAAAACAACTTTTTTGAAAAATGTATTTGACATTCTCCTACTTTTTACTTTTTAAAGATTTGGATAATATGTACAGCACTATGGATGATGAAGTATCCATGTGTGAATCTGATATGATAGATGATGAAGATACATCAAGTGATAAAGACTCTGATGTATCTGATGTTTTGAGTGAAATATCAAATGTGATTAATGACAATTGGGAAGAGGGCGTTCTTGACGATTTTTCATCAATTACTTGTGTACAACAATATGCCCTAAATTTCACGCAATTCGCAAATAATATTTTCTTTCAATTTTTAGACTGCTGAAATTTGAACTTAATCGTGACGAATGGGACATATTGGAATCTGTTGAAGAAGTTTTACGACCATTCTTTAAAGCAACAGAATTAATTAGTGGAAAAAAATATAGCACAATTGGACTCGGATATTTCGCTATCACCAGTCTTAAAGAACAACTTGAAGAACGAACTGGTAATTATGTAATTGATCAACTTAAAGATTTGTTACTTAATCAATTTATAAATTACTTTGACAATGATTTTGATCAATATGAGTTATTGAAGGTAAACTATCTATTCAATTTTATTGTTGCTTATGCTCAATATGTAAAAGTTGATATGACACTTAAAAATAATCGATTTGTTATTTACTCTTACATTACACAAAAACATATAGGAGCATAATGTACATTTGTTTGTGAAAAAAGAGAACTTTTTCTATGCTAATACTGGATCATTCAACAAAAGGAAAGAAAAAGAATTTGAAGATTTTACACATTATTTTTTTATACTTGAAATTTCTTTCTTAAGAAAGAAGATTAAGATTGAAGAAACAATCAGAACTCGTATGAGTATACAAGTCGATAGCAATAAAGAAAATAATAACTATTAAATCGTTTCTCATTCGAATTTGATTTGAATTTTCTTACATTGCAGTCATATTCAATGTACCGAATTAAGAAATAAATGGATTTCGTCTAAAAAAGCGTTGAATGACCCATTTTGTATTCGAAGTTAATGTTAATAGTGTCACACTTGCTATTAATTTTACTTGAATTTACCTAAGTGAAAGTCAATGTTTTATGATTAATAAATTTCTTACTGAGCAGTCGAGTCGTAACCTACGTGAACAATTTTCTTCGATAATCATGAAATATCGAATTTTATTATATTATAATCGTGCAGTTTTAATGTAAAACTTAGACCGAAATAATCAGACAAAATTCTCACTAAATCGATTATTGTGATCAGTTTTGATTACAATGGATTTCTAATTAGTGAATAATCTATTATAATCGATATTAATCGATTATTTTATGAACATCGAAATGAGATTTTCTGTACGGAAAACGGTTAGCTCATAGTCATTGGCTATCTTTCGTCACATATTAATCCTCACCGTTAGCCACTTGGACCAGCAAATAAGTGAAATACTAAAATTCTAGTAAAAATTTGTTGTGATCACGAGAAATGAAATGAAAGATACTACATATGAGGGTAGTATCATATATCTACTTTTCGGCTGAAATTGTTGTATTGCGATCTTGTAATCATTGGTGATCAATCTGTTAATTACAGATGATAAATTTATTGTTGAGTTTAAGCCTTAAATAAATTTTTATTATTGATAAATGGAGCCTATAAACTATTTGATTGCTTCTTCTTCGTAAATACCTTACGGAATAGTACTAGTATCAATTTGAAACTTAAGACTACAATATAGTTCTTCTTCCGAACACGAAGAGCGGTTAACTGACTATTATGAATTTTATACTGTTTCTCACAGATCTTCGTAGAAGATAAATAACATGTGGCATTTTTGTTTAATTCTAGCGTCATGCATTTTATGATCCACTTGGTTTTTGTTCATTGGATCGTACTGATCGAACTAAAATTGAACGTGAGATCAAAACATTATATTCAGAACATATGACATCGTCGACAAATTCTAATTTACTTGATTTTGGCTTTACAACAACAGCTGATCACCAGCCGAAGTCTAATTTATTGCAAAGTTTTTTGTCATCAGTAGGTAAACGTCAATCACGTATCATCAAAGAAAATAAAAATGTATCAATTAGCGATGAACTATCAATATATCGTTCGTTAGCCATGCGAGAATGTAATGAAATTATTGAACATGGCAAAGACAACGATCCATTTTTTTTCTGGAAACAACACAATCAACAACTTAAATTTTTATCAAATTTAGCTCTGAAGCACCTTATCGTTCCATGCACATCTGTACCATCTGAATCTACATTCAGTTTAGCTTCGTATCTTAGTAGAAAAGAAAGAAATCGATTAACTCCTGAAAATCTGTGTACATTAGTATTTCTAAAAGATAAAATTATCAATGATATGTAACTTTTAACATAAGGCTTATTGTGATTTAGAGAATTTAGTATTTTTTCTTTTGAAAATTCTTAAAATATATATAACTTATCTATATGTATTCTTTTTGATTTCAACTGTACAGACTTTCTAACTGTTTGATGAAATGAAAAAAGCGTGTTTAATATATTAATTTAATGTTAATAATAATAATATATTGTGTATTTCTTTTGTACGACGAAAATTGTTATATATGCGTACTTCTTAGTAATTATTAATGCTTCTTTTTTTTTAATTTTATTTGATAAAAATATTTAGACAATAAATTCTGAAGTAAAATATTTGTCGCTCCAACGCAAATTACTATCTGTAAATTCTAGAGTATCTGCTTTAATGTCTGAAAGCACTTCATAGCTTAAATTGGAGAAGATGATTTAGCGTATAAGACATTGTTAACAAACATGTTAAAATTATCATGAAAACGATTTCGATAATTAGTACTCTAAAAGCCAGGATTAATAAAATATTTCAGAGATCCTCATCAAGTTTAATACGTTAAGGTCATCTCTCTCAATACGTGTCGATCGATATCAAGACCGAGACAAACCGAGACCGAGTCCCGACCGAGATGACCGAGACCGAGACTGGGCGAGACCGAGACTGACCGAGACCGAGACTGACCGAGACCGAGACTGACCGAGATCGAGACTGACCGAGACCGAGCGGCTCGGTCTCGGTACATCCCTACTCATGTCTTATTACCACGAAAATGCTGGTTTGCTCAAAACTTTGAAAAACCAGCTAGAAATTCAATTCATTATTAGAGATAAGAATCATATTATTTAAATTGATGTTTTCGGTTAAGACAAACGTATTTTTTCAAGAATAACAATTCTTTATAAAACTTTTTCGAAAGTTGTTAGGATCGATAAATCCAAATCTAATTATAGGTGACTTGTCTAAATTTATGAATTCGATTTTTTTTGTCAATATAAGCCTGTTGTTGCGACTTGATCAAGTTCTGTTAATTCTTTCAATCTCAGCAATGTATAAATAAGTATAAATGCAATTATTGAACAAAGGTGTTGCCAGCGTATTATTTAATTATTTGACAAGGTGCTTTTATCGGTGGTGAGTGCGGATGTTCTTTCGAATCATATCCACATCTGTATCTTATTATTTAATTGTCAAACATACGGTAAAATCATCAATCTCATAACATTGTTCTTAGAAATAGTTCTTCAATTTTTATTCTGTCTCTTTCTTATTCATCTTGACATTTTCATAGACTTTACCCAATAAATCTTCCAAACTTATCACAGTTTGACAAGAAATACAATCATCATGAAATTTTGACAGATCGATCATATTTTGATAATAGATTGCTCTCAACCAATTTCTCAGATGAAATTAGTCATCAATAACCACCAAATGCTGATATTCTTGAAAAGAAAAATTAAACTGTTCCTAATATCCACATTAAAAAAAGACATCATCTATGCATCACTACGAATATATTCCCAACATAATCAAAATTCTATATCTTTCGATGAATATAAAGACGATCGTCTCTATTGATGATTGAGTAATCTTACTCAAACGTTAAAACAAAATTGAAAAAGAAATGCGCGATATGAAGCGCAATCGAACAAATGTTTCGTGATATTGTAGAAAAAAAGAAAGCATTAGCCTATTTGTTTATGTTAATCGGAATATGGTGAATTCGTTGGTATGAGTGGTTTGCAATAATAATAATAAGAGAGAAAAGTTTTGAAATGGAAAAAAGAAGACAAACTTTCACAATATGGTTGTATATTCAAATCTTCTGTATTTTTTTAGATATTTTTTTCCAATTTTTTCTCTATTACCTACATTTTAAATGATGTGCGGTTGAAATTCGATGTACATGTGTTAAAAATAGTGCAATAGCAGTGCTATGAAAGAAAAAATAATAATAACTATTTTCTTGCTTCTTCGACACATTTTTTTCGACTCATAGGGTACTGCACATGGTTCTACCATAGATTGTTCGTCTGACAGGAACAAAAAAAACTTCTTTTCTTTATAGACGAGAGCAAAACTGTCCTCATTGAACTTCACTATGAATTGCTTTTAAGGCATATATTTGAGAGCAATAGGTACAAAAACTATATTTGAGAGCAATAGGTACAAAAACTATATTTTCTCGCCTGGCACAATGTCTTCGCGTTCAACTAGAGGAACAAATGCTTAGAGAAATTTTACAATCAATAGAGATAAACTAATGGAAACAATACGACAATAAAGCTTAAGTAAAAGCATAAATAGTACCATGTAGTAGTGAAACAGATAATTATACTCGCTGTTTGATGAAGATTATCATTGAGTAAAATTGTCTAGCTACAGCAAGAACAATGTTTCTTCAGATATTAGGATTTACAACTGTTTGAACAGCATCTTTTTTACTCGAATACAAAAATTGTTTTACGATAATTTCATCCTTCATGACCTTCTCACGTTGCACAGCCACATGACATAGGACACCACTGGAGATATATACTATCTAACTTTGTATAGACATACCACTTGAAGAAAAGTATATTCCCTGTGTTCAAATCGATTATTTCATCGTTGTTCATGACTATATATTATACTTGTTTTTATGAAATTTAAAGTATATTACGTCGTTCAATATTCGGACACCTACCATATTGATCGATTGACATTCAGCTTTTCAATATTGTGAGACCGTTCTGGACTATTATCAAAATATTAGAACAACTTAGAAAACACAGTAATTATGAGAGAGTTTTAAGATTTCAAAAATTTTATTTAATTGAAATCTATCTTAGTCTTTCTAGTATCTGTATTTTATTAACAAATGAAACACGAAACATTAAACATCATATTGATATAGTAGATAAAAGAGAAAAAGAAAACATTTAATCATCATGAAGACTGGTTTCTTCAGTCTTTTGAACAAGAGAATTGATTGCATTTGAAAACCATTGAACTTCATGTCCTGTAACTATACCATCATGGATACCAAATAAACATCTTATAAAATCAGAGAAAGTTTTGACAGCCTGTTCATAATTGAATTTATAGAGTATATATCGCCATGTTAAATCAACATATGTATCTTGAATATGTAAGATTTGTTTTGTATTTGATAAATTGACCGGAGGAGTGCCGGAATAAACTGTATAGTTAATTGTTGAGAAAGAAACAATAGCAAGAAAGAGTTTCATAATGACAATGTCAAAATCAAGTCGACTTGCTATACGTTTAGCAATAGGTATTACTCTTGGATGACTAATAGTTCCAAGAACATCATAATAAGTTGAATAATTAAACAAACCAACTGGATGTGCAATACAATCTGAACATGGAGTTGACGTATGTCCAAATGTACTATCAAGTAAAATAGAACGATCATGTGAAGGTAACGAGAGAAAATCTTGATTGTTTTTGTATAATTGTTGAACTTGTTCTAATGTCATTTGATATAATTTGGTAACTGATTCAGGTTTAAAGCGTAACTTAAGAGGTAACTTACGTTGTTCATGCATATAAGATTCACCTATTGAAAATCCACTATATGCCTCATAGCAATTAACAATGTTTGAAAGAAGATTCCATTGATCGATCGTTAATGTCGATTGATCTGATCGTAAGAGATTCAATGTTGGAAACTAAATATTGAAAAACAAGATATTAATAGAAAATAAAGAATATCTATTAAAATATTTTTTATTTCACTACTAAGTTTAGATCTCATTTGATTCTAATTCAACTAATTCGTCTATTTAGTTTTAATAGATAGTACAGAATTAACACCGTCATAAACGAACTCTGTTTTTTTTAATCATTTTCTGGAGCGGTATGTTTCAAAGAACTGAAATTCGCAAAACTCAATTCGACTGCGGTTGACACAAGAAAAAAATCAGTCTTAAAAAAATCGAATTAAGATTTTAATAAGAACGAACAGTTCAAGTCATTTTTTTCCGTTCTTGTATTCGCAATATCTCTTAGAAGAAAGTATTTAAGAATTTAAAATCTATGAAAACTTTCCATCTACTATCGAGATATTTTCATCAAACTCTTCTCGATAAACCTCAGAAAAGAGATCTGTTGAAATATTCAATTAGAAAAGAACTATCAATTTTTGTATCCTAGAAGAATGTTCATATTTGACGAAAATAATTGAGCGACTTTTAGTCTTTTCCATACTAATAGTAATCAAATATTTTAAAAGTATGATAATAAAATAGTCTCACTTGTTCAGATTGGTTTAATGAAACTAAAGCTGTTGATATTGTTTCTGTTGGAACTTCCATTTGCTTTCGTTTGTGACTTGTTGTACTCGTTCTTGGACAAGATAATTGAAAATTTTCAGTTTGCATTCCTTTTGCAAAACATTTCTCAAGTCGACAATAAGAACAAACATGACGATTATTGACATTTATTTCACAATGACCATCAAAATCACATTTCGATAATTCCTAACAATCAAATGAATAAAAGTAAAAGAAAATCAATATATTCAATTAACCTTTCCTCGTTCAGCATTTCGTTTAAAAAACATTCTACATGGTTGACACGATAGAGCACCAAAATACATATATTTAGCTGGACCATTACAAATTTCACATTCACCTATGACTATTGTTGATTGTCGCTTTTTATTCATAGATTGATTCGATAATGTTTTTTTCAATTAATTAGAAAACGTTTTTATTTGATACAATCTAGAAAAGGAATTAATTGTATTAGTATAACTAGTTTTAACAGAATTTATTAAGAGAGATTTCATACTTTCTTCAAATAATAATTAAAACTTTTTCCAATATTTTTAATAATCTAGTGAAAATTATGATTCTAATAGCAATTTTATTAATAATGTAAAGAGAAAAGATTTTCTGTTTAATTTATTAAGGTAATACTTACTTGATGACTCTGAGAAATAAATGATAACATAAATGAAATGTAAGACACATTAGAAGAGAAAGAATAAAAAAAGAACAAGAAAGAGGAAAAAACATTTTGTCTTT